GGGGAGAAGGCCTTTGCTTCACGGCCGAAATTCAAATACCGTCGATTGCTTATCAAATACTTGAGCGAAACCTCCCGCCCGCCATTCCTGTGTCCCGCGCGGATCGCACACCTATATATATCTGCGATCTAAGCAAATCCTTCCCAGGTCATTCCACGGCGGGACTGTCGTCCGTGTATCGATTATTTCTAGCGAGAGGAGGAATCCCCCTCCTCGATAACCGAGGATATCGAGAGGCGAGGCGCCTCTCGGCGCGTTTGCGAAATGCCCGGTATATCCGGTGGTTAATACCTCACAAGTCTCGTCGGCAAAGACGCGCGCGAGGGGGAGGGGGAGAGAGAGAGAGAGAGAGAGAGAGGCAAAGGGACGACGAGGAATAGATAAGCAAATAAATAAGCTAACGCGGGGCAAGGCGCGAGTAGTCGTGGCGAGAGGGAACGAGAAAGAGAGCTCGGGAGTATAGGACCGCGGCGATTCTCGGGCGAACGTTCCGTCGACGAGGTCGACGGCCTGACACGGATGGTTGACGCCGTGGGGCCCGCCTCGTAACCGGCCTGGGAAGAAGAACGAGAAAAGGTAGATAAAGAGAGGAAAGGAATGGAAAGGGCCCACCGCTGTGCGGAGCGCCAGCGGACGCGCGTTTTCGCCCTCCGCGAAGACGATAGATCCGCCGCCGCCGTGCCGCGCCGGTACCCCCCGGCTCGATAATCGGTCTGGGTCAGCTGGCAATTCCCCTACTTCGGTGTGTGTTGTTGCTCTCGTTCTCCCTTTCTAGATCGCAGAAGGAGGACTTCGGAATGATCGTGGAATGACGTAGAGAGAGAGAAAGAGAGAGAGAGAGAGAGAGAAAGAGAGACAGAGAGAGCACGTAGATCGTTCCTCGAGCTATCAGGGTGGTCTTTTGGAGGCAAGAACTTATGGAGGGCGTTTTTAAGACGGGCGTGAAATTTTCGACCAGTTTTCAGTGGATTTTCCGTGACGTCGGTAGCTCTTGTTCACCTCGCCCTCCTTCATTGAGTATACGCCACGAGTGTCCCAGAGAGCGTACCGCGCTTCCCCCCTCCTCCCCCTCGTTCGGCCGCTTGTCGTTGTCCCCCTTCTTCCTCCGGTAAAAGTGTGATCGATGGACGAACGGAGACGGGACGGGACGAATGGCACGAAATTGGGGCGTTGCGTATTTATCGCTCCTATCTCGCCGCTATTTACCGTACCTGCGGCTTTTCGCCGCCGGCCCGCTTTTATCGTTCGCGCTCATTTTATTTTTCTCCCCCCTCCCCTTCTCGTGCTCTCTCTCTCTCTCTCTTTCTCCCCCTTTCTCACACCGTTATAACTTGTACAACGCACGACCGGATATTTTTTATTAGATTTCTTTCGCTCGCCGCCGTTAATCGGACGCTTCCTCGCGCGACGATTTATCCTTTTCCCCGACATTTCTCTTTTATTCCGTCTATTATATTGATTCTACGGGAATCAATTAATATCTTTGAGAGAGAGAGACGCTCTTGACGCCACGTTTATTTGTATTCAATCAGCAAGAGTTCCGTCGTTTTCTTTCTTGATTACTTTTCGATATTTATTACATTTATTTGCTATCATTTTGAAGCATATATCTTTATTGTTTAATTGTTCGTCAATTTTTTATTTTATGATGAGAAATTTTAAAACAATATTTTCTTCTGACATAAAAACGTATAAATGTCATGTTTATTTTGACAATTTCATAATTATACTATTTACATTCTAATATCTTTTTTTTTTAAGTTTTTTGTGTATTGCATATCTTAAATTTTAGAGAGAGTACACGCTTGAAGTTAAAGGAACGTTTCTCTCTCTCGCTCGCGAGAAGAATACGGTATTCGTTGCCGTTGGTCATCGCCGTTCGTCATTCCGTTCCCAACAAATGCGAAGCGTTTCATTACGGCGGCTCGGGAAAATCGTAAAAGCCGAGAACGCCCGATGAAGTGATAAAACTTAATTCAGCCGTTGTACAAACAACGCTCGCTCGTGTTTTTCGCGGGGCCGCCCGTCCGTCTCTGGATTTTTACGATTTTCGTGGGAGGGGTGGGTCACGGGGGTGGGGGGGGAGGTTTATTTTTATTGGAGGCGCGGTGGCCCGAAATTACGACGGGCCGCAAGAAAATCCGGTGGTATAAAACATAGGAGGTACCGTCCCGATTCGAGCATACAGAGTCCGCCGCGCCGTTTATATCGCCGTCGGCTTTAATGTAATTCTCGCCCAAAATCATTTCCCGGGCTCGGGAAAAACAGTTGCGAAAACATCGCGGTACACAACATCGAGATTAATTCCGCTCACGGAGCAGTTAATTATTCGATCCGCGTTTTGCCTCTCTCTCTCTTTCTCTCTCTCTCTCTCTCTCTCTCGTTATATCGCTCCCCGAGCGCTGCTCAGTCGTCCGCGATTATTGTTATTGCGTATATCGAATCTCGTCGCGCGCGCGCGCGCGCGACTTAAGAAGATTCCGCGAGCGCAGCGCGCGCGGGTAGTGTTTCTTCTTCTTGTCGAACATCTGTCGCAAATAATCGTAAAAGCTGGATTCAACAAGCTGCGCATAACGTTGTCGCGCCAGTCGCGGCTTTACGTCATCCATCACGCCATGGTTTCCAGTAGAGTAGACATAATTATTCAATCATTATTTGGTCTCGATAAGATATCCACGAAGATTAATGACACGATTGTACAACCAAGGATTATACATGGATGAGCTTGGGCGATGTTTGGACCTTTTTTTTTTATGTTTATCGTACGACAGATGTTTTGTGCGCGAGACAGCCACGGATAAAAACCGGGTTGGTTGGGATTTTTCCCTTAATTAATACGTCGCCAGCAGCCGATTATAGCTTTTGAATCGGAAAAAGTTTCCATCGTTGGAAACCTCGCGCAAACTAATGAAATTTTAATTATTGCAAATTTTGCCATTGACGTATATAATTTGGATATTTTATAAACCGAAAAAAAATCGCGCGCGTGTTAGAACGATTGTAAATTCGTTAAAGAAACCCAAATCAAAATTTGGTTCGGGGTTCCCGGAGCGAGCCTACCGCCTATCTTTGCCTTCAAAGCGCAAAGATCAGATTCAGTGATTGACGTATTCATCAATATCTTCGGTTGTCAATGAAGACTATTGAAAGAGAGGAGGATGCGACGAAGGATCGCGCGCGCGATCCTTCGTCGCATCGCAGGAGGCGGGAAACCTGTTGCGATCCTTCGTACACAAAGCGTCTCCGGCGTTTCCTCTTTTTTTTTTCTTTCGGCGGAAGTGCAATGATTATGACAGCGGAAAGAAGAGACCTCCGATCTTTCGAGTCTTTCGAGCCGGAAACGAGGGACGATTAGAACCGCGCACGAAAGAGCGACATTTATCTAGTCGGGGACTCCCGCGATCTCGTGATGATCCCTCCTCCCCTTTTTTTTCTCTCTTTTTCTCTCTCTCTCCAGCGGAAACACTCGAGCTCTCGGCACTTTCTCGCCGCGCGGTGCCGGTTTTCGGCATCACCCTTCGACCATTGAATTTCATACCTCTTTCTAAACGTAGTATTTAATCGTCTTCAACCCCCCGGCAAGATTACCGAGCAGGTACCAGGTGGAACATCTGTTGCTCAACCTGTATCGCGCTATAATGCCTTTTACCGCTCCAGTACCGATCCCTTTGCGTATTTTTTTTTTCTTCTGTTACGTGAATAGGAGGAACCAGAGCGCGCGCGCGCGCGCGCGTGAGAGAGCACACACCCAGTCGTTTGGCGCATTATAAAAAGCGTCTGCTCGCAAAACGGGTCGCAATTACGCACCGCCGTCTCGGGAGGGAGGTGGCCCATACAATAATCTCTTCCGTTGTAACGAGGGAAATCCGCCCGGGGAAAACGTTCTTGCCCGTCTCGTCCCGTGGAGTCTCTCGTCGTTCCTGTTCCCTCCGATTTTGCATCTCGCGCGATCTTGTTAACGGATACGAATCCGTCGTCTTCTGGTCCCCGGTGGATCCTTCGAATTCTCTCATAATTAAGGCCGTTCCGTATTCAGGAGATGTCAAGCGGCAACTTGTCTAACTAGCGATTACAATATGCTCCGTATACATATATATGCATATTTTTTTGTGTGTGTATACATATATATTTGCATGTCGAAAGAGGATGTGCTTCCGCAAAGCAAAGTATAATGTAAATAGCGAAAACGTGCGCGCGGCTCATTAAAGCGCGCGTGATTAACCTCGTAAACTTTGGACTTCGGCCGCGCGCAGCCTTGATCTTCCAAGTGCGTGTGGGCCGGCTCGTGCTCGCGTGAATGCTACTTTTCTGCGTGGCGCGAGGACGCGCGTGAACGCCGCTTCCTCCTCCCGCTCTCTTCGTCGTCGTCGTCGTCGTCGTCGTCGTCGTCGTCGTCGTCATCCTCTGACCCGCACGACGCGTCCACGTGCCGGCCTGGTCGCGATGACGTCACGCTTCCGGTACGTGATTTCCTGGTACCGGACGACCGTTGGCGGATGAGAGGAGTTAAGTGCCGGACACGGGAGGTCCGTGCCACCTCCTCCGCCTCCTCCTCCAAGCGAGCGAGCGTCTCTCGCGTCTTCCGGAGCGGAAAGGATAATGAGAGTGCCCCGTGAACGGACATTCCCCCCCCCCGCCCTGAGCGGAGAAGGGCGGCGGGTCGTCCTAAACGTCTCGGATCCCGCGGTCGCTCTTTTTTTTCTTTTACCTAAATTTAGAAAACGATCGAGGGATTTTGGACCTACCTCAATTTTAGGTTCATATCATCGATTATAGAAGCGAGACGACCGTTTATTTTCGGTCTCGCGTGACACTTCTGACTCGACACTTTATCAATTTTTATAACGCTATCGGGGCAGAAAGTTGTGAGGCCGACAAGGCCTTGTAGATCCTGTTTAGCGATTTCGTTATCGACGCGCGGCGAAGTATAGCGTGTAGAATGTCGCCAGATGATCACGGACAGCGTGCCTGACGAGTCGTGCATCTTCTTTTTTTTACAGCGTGTGGCGAACCAGGCGCTTACCGTTTCGCCACAGCCGGCAGTAACGGTGGAGGGGCCGGTGTCCAAAATGTCTCCACCGACGAACGACGTGAACAACGGTGTGGTAGCGTCTCCTAGCACCTTGGCGCCTCGGGTTCCACCGACCACGAACCCGTCCCTCACCAACCCACCGACGCACAAGCGTACCCCGAAGGACTTCATCTTCGGCAAGGTGATCGGCGAAGGAAGCTTTTCCACCGTAAGTTTCTTCATATTTTTTCACTTGTTTAACAGAAAGAATATTTTTCTTTTTATTATGTAATAAATGAACGTGAGAACTTTGCTCTCTCTCAATTTTTTAATATAATAATTGTAATTTTATGATATAATAATGTATAAGAAATACAGAAACAAGGATAACGAATCCACGATTGTTTAATCCGGCAGGTTTACCTTGCCAAGGATATCCACACCAGCAAGGAGTACGCGATCAAGGTGTGCGATAAGAGTCATATAATCAAGCAGAAGAAGACCGAGTACGTGAAGCGCGAGAAGGAGGTGCTGAACATGCTCGCGGACGCCAAGCACTCGTTCGTGCGACTGTTCTGCACCTTCCAGGACGCGGAGAGACTATACTTCGTCATGTCGTACGCCAAGAACGGCGAGCTCCTGCCGCACATCAACAAGGTGGGCTCCTTCGACATCGAATGCACCAAGTTCTACTCGGCCGAGATCCTGCGCGGTCTCGAGTACTTGCACGGGCTCGGTATCATTCACCGTGACCTCAAGCCGGAGAACATCCTGCTGGACGAGAAGATGCACGTGCTCATTACCGACTTCGGCTGCGCCAAGATCCTCAAGGACGACCCGGAGACGCCCGCGGACGCGGACGCTCAACAGCAGCAGCGTTTCAGGGAACGCAGCGGCTCCTTCGTCGGTACCGCGCAGTACGTGTCACCGGAGCTACTGACCAACAATAGGGTGAGCAGAGCGTCCGATCTCTGGGCCCTGGGCTGCCTCGTCTACCAGATGGTCGCCGGCCTGCCGCCTTTCCGCTCGAGGAGCGAGTACGTCATGTTCCAGAAGATCCTGAAACTCGAGTACGATATACCGGACGGTTTCTGCGAGCTCGCCAGGTCGTTCGTCAATCAGCTTCTCGTTTTGGAGCCGACGCAACGGCTGGGCGCTCTGGACGAGCACGGCGCTGGTTATCCCAGCATCCGGGCGCATCCCTTCTTCGAGGGCGTCGACTTCGAGACCCTTCACGAGCAGACACCGCCGCCGATTTATCCGTATCTGCCCGGCACGTCGGAACGTGAGGAGCTGAGGTCGCAATACAGGGTACCTGATAATCTTGAGCCCGGTCTGGACCAGAAGCAACTCACCAGGCTCCTCTGGCTGGGCACCGAAGACACCGATGATGACAACGACACCACCGGCGCTGAGCAACGCGCCGTTAACGCGTTCTTCAACGAGATCATCGCAAGCGTGGACAAGCCACTGAGAAGGTGTACCAACAACCGATCCGACAGCGGCGCCAACATCGCCAATTTGACGCCAGAACAGATCAGGATGCGGCTGGAGAAGCAGCGCACCACGAATCAGTGGCATTCCTTCGTCGAGGGCAATCTCATACTAAAGCAGGGCTTCGTCAACAAGAGGAAGGGCCTGTTCGCCAGGCGGAGAATGCTCCTTCTTACCACCGGGCCGCACCTGTACTACGTCGATCCCTTCAATAATGTGCTCAAGGGTGAGATACCCTGGAGTCCAGAGCTGAGGGTCGAGCCAAAGAATTTCAAGATCTTCTTCGTCCACACGGTAAGTGTTTTTGGAATACTGTTAAAATAAATTGTTGGACGTCCGATGCTTTCAAGCCTTTTCGACAAGGGATAGACGAGGATCAAAATCCGTACCCTTTTGACGTCTCGGACGTTTTCTGTATTTAATTCCCGTAAGAATGAAGAAATTTTTAAGCACACGTATAGAATTACATCTAAACTTCTATCTTCGTTGTGCTTACAGCCAAATAGGACGTACTATCTCGAAGATCCCGAGGGTTTCGCACTGGAGTGGTGCAGAGCAATCGAGGAGACGCGAGTCCACTGTTACGGCCTGCAGGATATGACAACCGCTTAAAACGGGAGAGATCCAAAAAGACAGAACACATAACGAGTGGTAAAGTTCGCGAGTGGCGATCGCGCTCAGGCCGGATCTGCGTTTCCCGATCCGAGATAGGAGCTGGCGAGAATCGATTGTTCACGTGTTAGCCCATTGTAAAAAGTTAGACTAAGTAGACTTGTATCGCGGCGCGCTCCGAGTCGCGCGCGCACACTGTACAGTTTATAGGCAGACAATTCATTAGGTAAAAAAAAAAAATTCCGGAACGCGACCTCCGTCGTCGAGAATTCACCACGTCGCGCGGTGTCCCATTATCACTTACGTTCGCTATTTATTGACGATCCTTTTACAGAAGTATAAATCGCATCATCCGCGCGCGAGATTCCGCACGAATGCGTGCGCGAAATGAAAAAAAAGGAAAAAAAAATTACCGAAAAGACGGAGGATTAGAGAAATTTTTAGCCAAGGCTTCGGCTGCGTGTTCGCAGCGCGCCTGTTGCCGTGTGACGTAACTCGCGTGAGATCGAGGTCGTCCCTGCGGGGCAAAGAAAAATAACAGTTCACGCACCCGTAAATTTCGATGTTTACAATTCTCGCGATATGCATAATCCCGGATCCCACGCAACACGAGCAGAAATTTTCACGCGAATCGGCTTTTCGGGGGAGGAAAGAAAAAGAAGGAACAAAAACAAAACGGAAAAAAATAATCAGCAAGAGACCGGATCGTGTCCCAGGAAGGATCCCTCCCGCCCGGAGGCGCTCTTGGTCGCGCAAAACACGCTTCGCACGGCGCTATTGTAGTACTTTATTCCTAAGTGTAGTCCAATTCCACACACACACACATATTACACACACGCGCGATAGAGAAAAACGCGACGCGTATTTAGGTGAAATTAAAAACCGCGCGCGCGCGCGCGCGGCCGCGTCGGGCAACGCCGCCGCGCAAGTTTAGACGTCAATTTAGCCGTGATTAGCCAAAAAAATAGAGGGGGGGGGGGAGGAGAAAGAAAGCGAAAAACGCCGTGGAGGACAAACGAGAACACACACACTACGCAGCTTTAACGAAACCGTTTTACGTCGCCTGTAAAGGATCCCCGGAATCTCGCGACGTTCCGGGCGATCTTTGCTCTCTTCGCGGTGTACAGTATTCTTCGTCACGTTGTTCATCGTCACCCTCTCCCCTTCCCCTCGTTCTTCCCCGCGTATTTCGTATATTCTCGACCCACCCCCCTCTCTCGCGAAAATTCTCTGTAAATACCATAAAACGCGAAGAGCAGGCCGCGTAAAAGCACTCTGTACCATAGTAGATATACGTAAGTAGAATAAAAGGGAAAGTATCGTTGTCCTCCACCACGGCGTTTTTCGCTCGCTTTAATTACGCTTCTCGTCGTCCTGGCCCTCGCGGACCCGAGCGTGCGAACTCTCGGAGGAGGGGAGGGGAGGGGGGAGGGGTTGTTGTAGGCGACGAAATATCGAAGGAAAGGGGAGAGATCGGCAGAGCTCGCACCACTCCCCTTCGCACGTTTCGTTACGAAGTGGGAAGCGGTGGAGAAACGAGGGCACGAGGAAACGAGGAGCTTCGTTTTGCCCCTCCCGCGTAAAGACTTTTACACGCCCGAGAAAGGAACTCTAGACTAAATAAAATAGACTCGTTTTCGATAGCTTTAAGAGGCGCTATAGTAAAATTCGCTCTCGAACGTGTCATCGCCGATTCGTTATATCGTTGTCACCGGCGCGAATTATCATTTTTACGGTAGATATAATATATATTATGATTTATAGCGTTCGAGCGAAAATTATTATCGCCCACCTCCCCGCGTAATTATTGCCCGGCCGCGACCGGGCGACGACGCGGCACGAGTATTACGAGTATTCATTTTCCTCGCATATGTATAAATTAGGTATTTAATTAAAGCACGGTCCCGCGCTTCGTTAATTTATTTCTACCGTTAGTTGCCTCGAATTAATTTATTCTCGTTTTTTTTCTTGTTTCCTTTTTTTTCTCTCTCTTTTTAAATAACCGCGGCAGCCGAGGACCGCGTCGTTCGTACATAGAGATTACAGACTAGTTAACTATCTCCGCGACTATATATTTACTATATATTTACCTAGAGAATATAGCGCTATTACTACTATTACTATTACTACCGTCACCACTGCGTTGTTGCTACGTTACTGCGTACATATATATATATTATATATATTCTATATTATACGTCAACTATTGTCGTTAGACTTAGCTGTTTTTAGGTATACACGTTTATTGCGAATACGTACTACCGCGTTGATTAAGGCCAGGAGAAAAGGAAATCGAGGCGCGATTCGACCCGTGATATCGCGACCGAGCCGTAGTCCGATCGTGTATATAAAGTTGTACATTATTAAACGTACGAAAATATTATATATATATATATATATATTATATATATAGGTACAAATAACACGATATATATATATATATGTATATAAAATATTTATATAATGTGAATAGAGTTCGTAGTTAGGGGGAAGAAACTGTATAAATGTTCATAGGATAAAATTGCGTTTAGATTTAAGTCTCGTTGATTCTCTCGGCACGGCTCGTTCGCGATTCCGCTAAACGAAAAAGCTTTACTCTCTCTTTATATATACATATATATTCTCTCTCTCTCTCTCTCGCATGGCGCAGACATAAACAGGGTATTCGGGGGATGGCCGGGGCGGTCGGTGGTTGGCGCGCGTTGCGCCGTGCGATGTTCGAAAAAATGTTGATCCGTTCCTCTACGGCTCGGCATTGTCCTCGCTTGCCCAGCGGCTTTGCTCAAAATGACCGCTTTTGGCGGGCCGCGTACGGTGCGGGCGGACGAGATGCGGAGAGCGGGCGATAGCAACCACCGTCGCCGCGTTTCCCGGCCGGACTCCACTTCTTTTTTCTAGTGAGAACCGATCGCGCGAGGGAGAGAAGAGCTCGCGTCCCCTTAGTTTTTATAAAGTCTCGCTTCTGGCGAATCGCGTCTCGATTTCACAAACGTAGTCTGTCTACCGTGAACGAAGCACGTGGTGTCATGGAATTTTGGTTTATATACATATATATATATATATATATATATATATATGTATGTATATATATATATATATCGCGCGAAGTCATACAGAAGAAAAAAAGAATATATTTTTCGACATAGAAACGAATATATTTCCGTGCATGTGTAAATATATCACACACACACGCATACATACACGCACACACACACGCATACACACACATACACACACACACACATCGACGTTGTGCTTCTTTTCCGGGGAGAGAGAGTACGTATACCACAAGTCCGATCGCCGATCTCGTATCTCGTCTTTTTTTTCCTTTTTCTGTACATACGAGATAGGGAGAACGGATCGCGCGTCGTTTCCATCGCGCGGAAACTTTGCAGGTCCTATGTTTCGTGCAGGCCTTGCAAACTTTCAGATGGGAACGTGCGCGCGCGTCTTAGGGGAGTAACACAACGGCGCGTTTTGATTTTCCGAAAAAAAAAAAAAAAAATGAAGGAGGCAAAGGAGCGTTGTCGGAAGTCTCTCGTTTCATTCGGCACCGCTCCCGAGATTCCTGCCGCCCTTGCGGTCCGTACGCTTCGGACCCTCCCCTCTCACTACTACTATATCATAGCGAAATAATCGATTTGGACGTGGACCTCGTAAAGGGGACACGCGCCAAGGCGCTACGTTCACTAAGAGAAGAGATAACTAATTTAAAGCTAGGCTAGAAGTTTTTTCAGAGGGGACGTATACTTAAAAAAAAGAAAAAAGAAAAAATCGGAACTCTTACACCGTTGCGAAATCGTTTACGATCTGCGAAACAACGCAAAGTTAATAACAGCAAGGCCTTGCCGATGTTCAGCCTACTGTTTCAGATGCAGCAGAAACGTTTCAACTATTGATTGCAGTATTACTAAATGTATACAGATTAAATGTAACACACTCTACACGTAATACGCACACACACACGCATACACACACATACACAAACAGAAACACTCAATATACACTCGCGCAATCTACGAGAAGACTTTGTAAATAGTTAGGGTATAATTGATATTATAGGCGCCAAGATGTATTAAGGATAACATCAAATTTATTCAGAATAAATCTTCCGAAATATCGCATAAACACGCTTGTATTAATTTTGTATGTCCCATCCCAGAAAGTTTCCTTACATAATATAGGTATATATACATATACTAGGAGATATACATAATATAGGTATATATAACGTTATAATTATGAGGGACAATAATTTCTATCTTTGATGCAACGTAAAAATTTTATATCGTGTTTTAGATGTATGTGTAATAATGTTACATATTCTTTTTTTTTTGCTATATTATTATATTAAATGTTTCAAGGTTGCAAACTTTTCAATGAGCCACAAAGATACTGAAAAAGAATTAATTTATTTTTTAGAGATAATTCACGTTTTATATTATATAAATTACAAATATTATTTACAAAAATTTCATATTTATACATTCCGCTTTCCATCGCTTTCATTTACCAATGTGTGTTAATAAATGCCTCTTCAAATCCGGCATATTTTTCGGCTGCGTCGAGCATTTGTGACACTTTAGTTTTGTGTTCAGATAGTCTGTGGACAGCTCTCGAGAAATTTTTTTAATTTCGCCGTCCACGCGCAACTGATTACATACATCTAAAAAGTCAATATGCCTTTTTATTTAGATTGCAATTTAAAAGTATCGTAGATTTGGTATCGATATATTATACAAACCTTGCGAGTGCAAAAAGAATCGCGTCGTGAAGGAGTTCCAATGATACTTAGTCTTAAGACAAGGGCTATTAAAATCCGTGCTTATTACGTGTAGGTGCAGCCTCTGCATACTAGGCATTGCGTGATAACCCATGCTGCTCAAGAATTAAAAAGAAGAATTATAATATGTTCCTACACAATTCTCAAATATGTAAGCACAGTTCTATGTGTCATTTCTATCTGTATTATTTTACACATATAATTCTATTTATATGTTATCTTTTATATATATTTATAGAGACATAGCTTGTACATTTTTATTTTATAATCATGTGCTTAATACAGAATTAGTTGCTATTTACTTGCAAGGAAAGGGATCCAAGTATCCTCTCCTCTGATTCGTCAAAATTGAAGGATGACACTTGATTTCCCTTTCCTTGTTAGTATTATTACATGTATTACTAGTATTAACATGTGAATACTGTTTTATTTTAATTTGAAACTTACAAGAATTCATGATCCGCATGGCCTTCCGCCAGATCACACGCAACTTCATGCATATGCGTTAGCAAATCTCGATGATCCTTCTTGACGTGCCATATAGAGGGAATATCTTCCTTTGGTAAAACCAAGTAGTGAAGTTGCGCTTTAGGATATTTATCTTTGATGACAACTATTTTATCGTCTTCTCTGACTTTACATTCAGGATCTTCTATCGACTTCAATAAACCAGCCGACCAATGATGCTTCTTTCCAGTTGCCGATTGTCGCAGTTGTTCACTCGTATAAGCAGTGGCTTTACGTTTCATCGTCCAAGTCGTCTTATTGTTGTTGTGCTGTCAGAAACCCACCTGAAAATTTATATATAATAAAAAATACTGCACATAAACAGCAATGCCTTCATTTGCTAACCTTCCAATCGGTCTCGGCAGCGTGGCATTTCATCTGTTAGGTATGACAATTATTAATTATTTTTCGAGGCAGTAAAGCTTTTTAAAAATAACAAAGTAATGCCAATGCGAAAAACTTTACTGCCTCGGAAAATAATTATCATACCTGACAGATGAAATGCCACGCTGCCGACCGATTACGCGAGGTTAGTTCTTTTAATCCCAACATCATATATTATTTGCCAAATTACATACACCGCGCTTTGACTTCCACTTTTAATGTATAGCGCATTTTGTGGATTACGTACATGTTGATAAAAACGAAACACATGGGATTTAAATGGAATAATTTAATAAAGCAAAATGTATTTGTATACAATATATGAGACCTAACCAACAAATAGCAAATTCGAAAGCAGCTGACTGCAGTGTTGCTCAAAGCTTGAAATTTGTCTATAAAAAGCTCCCAACGATGTGTACATACATACCTGAGAATAGATGTGTTCCCGTGTTTTTCTTTTATAATTGAAAAAATATAAGAGGCAAAAGCCAGAGGTAAACTAGTTAGACTAAAAACGCCAGTGATTTAAATGGCACTTACAGCTGACAGCAGTTATGGCGTCTGCAACATCTGTTCAGTGGCGCCTCTATATCCACAAATCGTGCACATAGAGAACTATGTAGATATTTGCGGCAGGTAACACATTCACGGTCTTTGATTTTGTTCTGCGGTACGAATTATTGATTATACATCATTTGATTCTGTTCTGTGCTATAATTACTATAAGTATTATAAGTATCAAAGATTCATAAAAATAATACATAAAGATTGGAATAATTTAAGGGGGTCTTCTACTTTGAAGGCCTTTTTTTCGTCGTTTTTTAGGATTTTTTTTTGAGGAATCATGAAAACATATTATATCGGGATTTTTATATCATATTTATTAACATTGGAAGTATGTTTGATAATTTTTTCAAAATAAAATATCGACAAGAATAGATCGGAAGAGCACACGTC